AGCCAAAGCAATGCTTTTAAACAGCCTTGTCTGGGAAGGGATGACCCCTGAGCACAGACAAGCATGCCAGGGACTAAAAAATGAACCTTATGACAAATGGATTGTGGCCACCCATGATATTGGGACTGCCACGTACCAGGCCTCCTCCCTTGCCCAAGCCCTTGTAGTTGCAACCCAATCCAACTCAAAATGCCTTAATTGTGGAGGGACCCCTTTGATGGACTCTGGAAAGGACCAGATCCATTGCTAACCACAGGGAGAGGATTTGCTTGTGTTTTCCCACAGGATCAACCAAAAAAAAAAGAAGAGGCGGAGATGACACCCAAAGCCCCCCTAGAGCCTCCTTCTCTACCATCCTCACGGCTGTCTTTACCCTGCTTAACACCAACGCTTCAGCCAGCCCCCACTCTCCCTAATACCATGTTCTAGAGATTTTACTTTTCAAGGAAAAATCAGATCCATGGGACAATCGCTGGCATGCTGGAGTAATAGCAGAATTCTACTCAGGTGCATTCTCTAGGTACCCCACAGCTAACTTTCATGTCTCTCAACAGCTTGCACCTGCAGCCAAGTCTGTGCTAACTCATAATATTATTCTACAGGAAAGACAGAGGACCAGATAAGATCAACTATGTCCTGGAACAAGTCTAACTTTTTTCCCTTCACCACCTACCCCAATGTTCAACTGCCTTTTTTAACAGAAAGAGATTTCACTGACTCTCATCTAGTGGATATCTACTGATTCAAACTGGCTAATTATTTAACTTGTTAACAGAAAAGATTTCACTGACTCTCATCTAGTGGATATCAACTGGCTAACTATTCAATTTGCATTTTCAGCAAGCAAGCCTACTTATTACAAATACCTCACTAACATTACTCTCTCCAGTACAGCATGGACGCCCCTCCTCTTTTCCTATGGTGCAAAGGAAAAGCCTAGCACTGTGTTAATTTCTCTTTGTCCACCTTTTATGTACCTGTAATAATTACACCCCAGGTGTACCTACTCGAGAAGGAAGAAGCCGCTCTCCTACACAGCTGCCAGCAGAGAAAAATCTTCTTCCCCCTGCTGGTAGAGATCAAACTTACACCTTCCCTGGATGCTGGAGGTGGAGGTGTTGCTATGGCGACAAACTACTACAAGCCCAGCACCTGGCAGATTTCCCAGACAAGCTAGACCAAACAATAACATCCGCGACTGACAGCCCAGAACATCTCTCAAACAACAAATAAACTCTCTCGCCAGGATTGTGCTCCACAACAAAAGAACACTGGACTTGATAAATATGGGGAGGGTGTATGATATTTGAGAAAAAATGCTGTTTCTTTGTAAATGAATCAAATGTTGTTGAAACCAATGTTAAAACTCTGTAATGATCCATTTTCAAGATTTCAACCCACCAATTAGGCTGGCCTAGCAAACCCTTGTTTGCATAGCTCCTATCCCTTGTTATTTTGATGCTTGCTCATTGTTTTTAAGATTTCTTTGCTGACAGTTACTGTCATTGCTGAAAATTGCTACAAAGCAGGTCATGGTCAATTATCAGACTTTGGATTCTCCTGAGACAGATGAGTTAGCCCATAGGGCTTGTGATGGTACTTCTCCATTTTTAAATCAAACAGGGGGAGATGTTGGGGAATCCTGCTGTGAGGGTCGCAGTCTTCCATGTCTGGATAGCTCTAAGGAGCTCGGCGCCTGATGGAAAGACTCCTCTTTTCAGCAGGGGGCCTCCTGCCTCTCTTCCTGACTCATCTTTGAAGCAGCCGTCACAGAAACATGGCTTCTGGCTCTGAAACTGCCAGGTTTTCCTGTGTGATTATCAGGCACTGTCTGACAGCCTGGCAGAAGCCCACCGCCACATGTAAATAGGGCATCCTAAAAGCACCTATGAAGAGGGGGCTATCCTTCCATCATCGACTCACGAAGACCCTGCTTTTGCCGTTTCTCGCACCTCCCCTCATGACCTGGTGGCCAACAGGTCTCGAACTTAGAGAGAGAGTGCATGGCAGAAATTGAAACAGAACCCAACCGGGCAGCTGACAGCGGTCCTAGAGCCGCCAGCTCCGGCAGCAGAGACCCACGGCAACGCGGTGCGCGAAACCCGCGCACCCCAGCGGCAGAGAGCCAGGGGTCCAAACAGCAGACGCGGCCCACGGGACCCGTTGCACTCCAGCGACGTGTGGGAGACCGGCGCCATGCCCAGCAGCTGGCGCCCCGAGATCCCCGCATGCCCATAAAGTACCATTTGGTAAGTTATCCATTATTTTTATGCTCATCAGAAATAGCATCTTTTAAGGTAAACTAATTAGGAGCATGAGAGCTGTGTTTCTAGGGCTTCAATTTGGTGGCAACAACTTTCTATTTTGCACTGGTATTACATCAACATTTATAAATTATAGCTTTACAATGCATTTGAATATTTAAAATCCCATTTTCATTATTCTCCTCTTTCCCAAATGGTGCCATTTCCAATTCGTTTTTCCATATGCATTTTAAAATCATTTGGTCAAGTTACAAACAACAAAAATATTTGAAATATTTATTTTAAACTGCATAACCTATATTGTTAAAATACACTTTTCAATACTTTGTCTTCCAATACAAAAACTACACCAAACTGGGAGTGGTGGCGCACATACCTTTGATCTCTGCGTTCAGGGAACAGAGCCAGCAGATTTCTGTGAGTTCCTCCTAGCTACCCTAGTCTACACAATGAGTTCCAGGCTAATCAGGGCTATATAGTAAGACTGTCTAAAACAACAACAAAACATGGACTGTACCTCTTATAAATGTAATCTCTCTCTCTCTCTGTGTTAGAATAATAACTAATGAAAACTCATGTCAATAAATTCATGCCTATATCAACCAAAAAAAAGTAATCTACATTGTTCAATAACATTTCAAAGTATTTTTATTTATTAACTTTTTTTTTTTTTGTGAACGGAATCTTTTACATTGTATTTTCTAATTCTTAACTTATTTTTGTTGTTTTGAGATAGGGTCTCACTATGTAGTACTGACTGGCTAGAACTCAGGAGATCTACCTGCCTCTGCCTCCAACGTACTGGGATTAAAGACATGAGCCACGCTCGGCTAATGGGTTTAGGACACTGGGCCAAGCACACCCATCCTCTGTCTATTTCTCCCATCTTTGCACTAGTTTGGACAGTAGAAATTCACAGTCCCATTCAACAATTTATGTGAATAACTGGCTTCTGCTTAAGTGTTTTAAAAATTGGGGGAGAAGGGCTGAAGAGATTACTCAGGTTAAGAGTTCTTACAGGGGACCCAGGCTTGATTCTCAGCACCCATGTGGCAGCTCACAACTCCAGTTCTACAGGAACTGACACCCTCTTCTGACCTCCACAGGCACTGTGCAACACTAGTGCACTTACATACATGCAGGCAAAACACCCATACACATAAAATAAAAACAAATTAAAAAAAAATTTTTGGACACCTGTTGCAAAGACTCACCTTGGAGCCAGAAGCCAGTCTGCCTCCCAGCTGATCATACTTCAAGCTGGTGACAGCTACTTTGTGTCCATTGAAGGTTATGTTTCCCTCTCCACTGAGGAGGCTAAAGATTCGGATAGACCCATCCTCATAACCAACAGCTAAATGCAGCCCATCTGGGGAGGGACACAAGCAAGTGACTTCTTGTTTAAGCCCCTGAAGGATAAGGATCTGAAATCATAAAAATCAAAACCAATGCAGAAGAGTTAGGCATGTTATCAAGTTACAAGTATGGGAATGATCAGGAACAGTAACAGTGAGAGCATCAATAAATAATTCTGTCTTATGATTAATGATGGAACTCTACAAGTCATCCCCCATTTGTATGAGCAAGGAAACACTCAAAAGGCAAAACCAATTCCTGTCCAGCTTAACACCAGCATAATAAGCATGCAAATTATCCAGGCAATGAAATAAATCAGTAAATCTTTATCCTGCTGATTTTCTACAAAGGCTTGTAACTGTCCTTGTTTTAACTCAACCACAGGGCACTAGAGGACTACATGGTTTTATTCCAAGAGGCCCTTGGCAGCAAAGTATTAAAATAATAACTTCTTGGGAGTCACACAGTAAATGGAGACAATTCACTCAGATTCTCTCAAAGCCCAGTTTCATAATCCCTGGATTTCATCAGTGTATGTAAGAAAAAGACTCCACTAACCCAAAGGAACAATGCTCCTTTGAAATACTTAATATTTTACAATTGGCCGTGAGCACAAACAGAACCTGAAATGTAAAACTGGTAGAGAAAAGCAGAGATGCAGGCAATCAACAGTGGCTACAAATAATGACCTATGAAAATTAGCACAAATAGTCATCTATTAAGTAGGCTCTTTGGTTGTGATTTATCAGAATTTGGTGAAGAATGTAACAGAATTTGGTGCTTGGCTGTCTAGACCAAGAGGAGGGCTGCCTCTGAGGACACACACACAAATTAACCCTAACAAGCAAGTCAGAGTGCGCCCACTTCTGTATCTCTGTGAATAAGTACCAACTTACTTGATTTCTGACTCACCTTCTCACCTTTCCTTAAGTCCCAGATGAAAACATGTTCACAGGCGGGCACTGCTACGTAGCGGCCTTTCTCACCACGAAGTGTCACAAAAACAATGTTGCCTTTTTGACTACCAATCAAGCCAAAGACAGCACTAGCTACATAGCGTAGGTACTGTTTGGTGAGTCCCATGTTACAATGTCTGAACCCGCAGGTGAGGTAATCTGTGTATATAAACAACATTCAGGGTTTGGAGTACCTTGATTCTGATGAGCTAACAAACACTGATGGGTTATGTGGTTAAAAGCACATAACTTGTCTCAATCGGTAAAGTACTGATAAAAAGCCAGGTGCAAAGCCAGGCGTGGTGGTGCATGCCTTTAATCCCAGCATTTGGGAGGCAGAGGCAGGCAGATCTCTGTGAGTTCAAGGCCAGCCTGAGTCTACATAGTGAGTTCCAGGACAGCTGGGGCTACAGGGAGACCATGTCTCAAAAGGACCAAAAAAAAGGCCAGGTGCAGAGAAATGTGTCTGGAATCCCAGCCCTGAGGAGGCAGAGACAGGAAGATCCCTGGTGTTCAGTGGCCAGACAGCCTAGCCAAATTGATGAACTCTAGGTTCAGTGAAGACACCCTAACTCAAAAATCAGGTAGAAAGCAACTGAGAAAAACATCTGATCCATATCAGTATCTAGCCTCCACACACGCTGGCCCCCACATGAATGTGAACATACAATCCTCCCCCCCAACACACATACATACACACAAACCATATAACTTCTGATTTCTTAAGCCTTACTTTCTCTGAATAAATCACTGACCTAAAATACTTGGGCATCATTGTTTTTAACTCGACATGTGCATGTGATCCCTTATTTCTTGAGTCTTAAAATGTTTACATTGTCATGCTTGTCTTGTGGAAAAGCTCAATGCAGCTACACAATTCATTTTTAGAGACTGAATTGTGTGTCAAAACCACTATCAATACCGACACTGAGACTGGTAGCCAGAGTCTGTATTTTCATCAATGACAACTGTAAATCTGGCTTCAATTTTTTTCCTAATGAAAACCTACATTAAACCAATAAAAAAATCAAGAAAAGGGCTGGAGATGTAGCTCAGTTGCCAGAATACTTGCCTAGCATGCAACTGTCTCTGGGTTTGGTCTCTGGTGCTGAAAAAAATAGGTGTGTGGATGCACTCCTTTAATCTCAACATTGGGGAGGTAGAGGCAGGAGGATCATGAGGGCAAGGTCATCCTCAGCTACACAGAGAATTCAGGACCAGTCTGAGCTATACAAAGACCTGGTCTCAAAAAACAAAAACAAATTCAAGAAAAGACTGAGATGCTCTTAGCCATCTGACTAATTCTTCCTCAATTCCTCTTATTCTTCCAAGCTCTTCACTGTAGCTGTTATTTGTGACACACCATTCTACATTCTACAGTATTTTCTGTTGAGAATTCACATAGCATGCAGAGGCTCTGGAACACCTGCATCAATATTTCTGGCCTTGCTTAGCTACATGAATAAAGTTCAAAACATTTATTGGACATGCTCTCTTTAACACCTTACAGCATCACATTTAACATGCCTACAATAAAACCTTTCTTTTTAAACCTCTTTTTTTGTTTGTTTAACCTTAAAACATACAATCAGCCAGGCATGGGGTCACATACCTTTAATCCCAGCACTTGGGAGGCAGAGGCAAGAGGATCTCTTTTGAGTTCCAGGCCAGCTTGGTCTACATAGTAAGTTCCCCGCCAGGACCACAGTGAGGCTGTCTCAAATAAACCAAAAACCAAAAGAAACCAACACAACCTCCCATTAAGGTTTAAAGTGTTCTAGCAATTTCTGATTCATTAATATATATATATATAAATCATAACAGCAATCCTTAGAGAGTGCTTAAGATACAGTAAATATATGTGCAAAATAAATGCAGTTCTTTAATTACATGCAGTAATTGAGAGAACAAAAGCAAAGCACTAGAAAAATGCGTAGCACATTGTGAATATATACATAAAAATCCTTCAGTGACAGAAGAGGCAATCTCTATTTTATAGCCAAGGATGCTAAACATCTAGTTCTTTCTATCTGTATGTATCAAAGCCAGACTCCAATAGAGCCAGACTAAGTCCAATTTTCTTTTAACCATTATGCTAAACACCTCTCTCCTATGTCAGCCAATTCTGTTTCTCTGAATATTAGCCTTTTTTCTCAGCTACTTTCTGCTGTACTGGTTTTCCACCTAGCACCTCCACTTCCATTTTTCTTTCTTTTCACTTAAAAGTCCTAGTAGTACCCAACTGATCTTTTTCAAGTGCTCTGTCTCTACCCCAAAGCCGAAAAAGGCTAAGCTGTTTGTCAACTGCACAGATCCACGGGGATCCAGTAACTTTATCCTGTTTCTTTCTCAACCAACCTTCTCTCCTGAGCAGCTGTTTCCCTACCTGCGACCTTGTCTTTTTCGAATTTTCTCCTTGCCTATAATAACATGTATTCTCATGTCTCGTTCTATAGTGTTACCCCTGTAATAACCAATTCTTTCCCGGCAAGCCCAATTCTCTCAGCTTGGTCCATGGAGTCAGTATTTCAACTACCCTCCATCCGTCTTGGTATGGGCACTGGCTTTACGTACACAGCTCTCTCATCTTTGGCGAGAGAGAGTTCATAATCTAAACACTACCACCGCATCCCAGTTCACAGCCCACTTCCCCCCTCTCCCGCCCCGTCTCCACGATGCACTCAAGGCGAGGACAGTGACCACAGAGCTGTCACGAGTCTCTCCACCTAGGCCAGTCAGGGGGAAGTGAGAGAGCTCCGCACCCACACCCATGAATCCCGGGGCAAGTCCGGAGCTCCTGTTATTTGCACGAGCCAGCCCCGGGCGTGCGGCTTCCGGGATCCCCGGTGCGGACAGCGGGGCCCCTAGGCTCCTCACCTCTGCCTCCGAGTTGCCCACAGCACGAAGGCCTCAGCCAACTCCTCGCCCCCAGCGCCACAGCACGAGGAATCGCTCCCGACAATGGCCGAGGGCCCCCAGGACTCACCTCGGCCTCCACGAGGTTCCCACCGACAGCACCACCCATGGACCCGCCCCTTCCGACCTGCTCCCGGCGTTTCTTCCGCCCGGAGTCCCTTTTGCCTTCAAAGCGGAAGTGACGGCAAAGGGCTGTGATTGGGCAGAGGGGCGGAGCGGAAGCGGGCGTTTTCTCAGTCTTGGCTCTACTGCTGGTCACCCCAGCCTCTGGAGACCTGCTCGCCATCACAGGCGCGCCTCTGGCGAGGACTGGCTGCGAATGTCGCACCTTCCGCGACGAGGTTGAGCTCTGGCTGCCGCCCGGATGGGCCCACCCGAACGCCGTGAGAGGCTGGCGGAGGCCGGGAGGGAAGGGCGGCGCGAGCCTGGGCTGAGGCGGGCGGCGGGGCTCGGCCGGGAGTGCGGGCGGGGAGGATCCGAGTCTCCTGGAGGAGAGCGCTGGTGAACACCAGACCCCCGGCCTGGGTGCATGCTACCCGGGATGCACGAGACCCTGGGCGGCCGGCAGCCTCGCGGGTGATACTCAGGTCCAGTCCCTGCTGTGGACTCTGCAGATCGGGAGATGCACTCACCAAGCAAATAGGGTCAGCCGTCGAGACACGCCGAGTCCAGGATGCTGAGTTGTCCGGGGACCCCGCAGTCTCTGGAGTGACATTGCCCTGGCCTTGCGTTTCCGCTCTTCGGCCACTTGAGAGGGAAGTGACCCGAGGCCGGCCGCTCCTTCTTTGCTGACTGAGACTTAAGTGCTCTGTGACTAGGAGGAAATTAACTGTTCTCTCTTGCAATTCTGCCCTCTCCCATCCTTGGGGCATGTAGGTGTTTGAGAAATGAATTCTCGTGTCTGGCTGTACAGATATAAAGCTGACATATAATTATACAAAAGAAGTAATCTGTCGTTGCTTACTGAACAGGACATCTGCAGCAAGCCTAGAAAATAGCAGGTAGGGGCTGGAGAGATGGCTCAGCGGTTAAGAGCACTGACTGCTCTTGCAGAGGACCCAGGTTCAGTTTCCAGCACCCACATGGCGGCTACAAACCTTCCTTAACTCCAGTTCCAGGGGGAATCTGACGTCCTCTTCTGATTCGCGGCATTGCAGGACACGGGTGCACTCACATACATGCAGGCAATACTCTCATACACATAAAATAAAAATAATAAATAAAATGTGTTAAAAAAAAAAAAAAAACCAGGTAGACAATGACAGGTAAATTTGTCTACCAGTGTAATTTCTAAGGATTGCTTACAGTATTTGGTTTTCTTCATGTTTTAAAACACATTCAGCTCACCTTTCATATTCAACAAAATTGGGTGGACAATATGTAAAATGATAGTGTAGTAGCATAGATGTTTTGAAACAAGGTTACATTTATTGTGGGTTGAATGAATGAGAAGGCAAAAACTTGTTGCAAGAGACTATTACTTCCAGAAGTCTTGTGGGAAGAGGAGCATTTGGATAGGTGTGTGTGGTTAATATCTTCTGTAGTTGCTGCGTATTGCCTGATTATAGGTGGGAAATGTGTGCTTCAGTGGAAACCAGAATTTAGAATATATCAGACCTGTCCAACCTCTTCACCTTTCAGTTCAATCTTGTCATCTACAATGTTCTGAAACTGTGCAGTTGAATTATCAAAAAAAATTGCAAACAAAAATAGCATCATGTTTTAAGTGAGTTTATGATTTTGTGGTGGGCCAAATTCATAGTTATCCTAAAAGAATGCCTGAATGATAGTCTTGGCTTGTCTCATTCTAAGAAAGCTATTTTACTGCTATGTGAGCTATAGATAACTGTCATCAATCATAAATAAATCTGTAGCCATTCAAGTGAAGTTTCAAATTGCTCAATGTATTAAAATTTATAATTGAAACCTACTCATTTGTTTAATATATGTGGTACTGCTAATTCCCTGTTAGAGATGTGCTTTGGATGTTTTTGCATGATGATAAAATTAATCTGGGACCATTGATGGACTTTAGAAAGCTTTTTGTTGTAATTGATTTGTTGGTGTATTTGAGCACTTCAGTTAGTTTTTTCATCTAGCAACTTTTCATTTGCATAAAATAATTCTTAGATATAATTTGACATTGAGATGGCAGTGGTTTGCGTTTATATCCTTGTGTACCCTAAACTTTTAAATATTGAAATACAAAGAGATAAAGAATGATACATGGTCCAGTTCTCTATATACTTTTATTCAGGCCTGTTCTGTTTAATCCCTGTAAGCATTTTTGATCGACAGGTAGGTGTGTTAAATGTTTTCATTTTCCTTTTCTAAATGATGCCTTTTTTGAACTATATTTTTATTGATTTTATTTTATGTGCCTGCATATATTCAAGTGCACCCATGTCCTGCAATGCCTATGGAGGTCAGAAGAGGGCCTTGGATCCCCTGGAATGGGAGTTACAGACGGTTGTTAGCTGCCATATGGGTGCTGGGAATTAATTAAACCTGGGTCCTCTGCTAGAGCAGCCAGTGCCATTAATCTCTGAGTCATCTCTTTAGTCCCGATGCCTTTTTTTTTTTTCTTTTTTAAATCCAGACAAAAATCAGGGATTTTGAGAAAATGGTTTAAAGTATTCTGCCTGATTCTGACCAATCTTGAACAGTAAAGCCTGATCTCTACCCAAAGCCTTTTTTCATGTAAAGCCCTTATTCAGAGGACTTTTAAAACAATGCTGAAAGGATATAGCAGGAAAATAAGCTGCAAAGAACTGTTTACAGTTGTCCTTTGGATTAGGGTCCAGTCTCTTCAGCTAACTTAAAAAGAAGGGCATATGGCTAAAGAAGCAGATCTGATCCATGCTAGAATTCCATGTAGACTTTGATGCCAGGACATGAGCATGCTTCAGGAGCCCGTTTTACCAAAGTTTAGTTTTTGTTGGCAGACTTGTTCAAAGTTCAGAACTAATCCGTTGATTTCCAGTGAGAAGTCTTGTTCCCCTTTAATATTATCCAAGTTCTGAGACTACTGGTAACTGCAGTTCCTGCACCCCCACCCCTGCCCCCATCCCTCACCTGAGCACTCTTGCTTGCAATCTTTTTTTTTTTTTTTTTTTTTTTTCTTTTTTTGAACAGGGCCTCCCCTGTAGCCAGCTGGCCTGGAACTCACTATGCAGACCAGGCTGGCCTTGATCTCACAGAGACCCACCTGCTTCTGCAGGGGCAAAGGTGTGTGCTACCACGCCTGGCTGTCCCTGGAATTCTTAAGTCTGGAAATTCTTTCCATTTTATTTGCAAATCTGTGCTCCTATGAGCTTTTGTACACACATTTTATGTGGTGAGGTTTTTTTTTTTTTTTTTTTTCTTTCATGTGACTCTCCAAGAGGCTTGTGACCCCCAGACCTGTTAAGGCCCCTGTTCCTTCAGGAATCAGGTTTTCCTACTTCCTTTGAGTTTGCTGCTCCATTTACTTTATTACAAGGTGTATGTGTCTGTGTCTCTGTGTGTATGTTGGTAGAGGGGAGATTTAAATCTTTTAGTGAGAAAAAAATCAGTTCCTCTGTGGAGATTGAGCTGCATGAGAATTCGACCTTTATTAAATACTATGACACTTTCCAGAAGATACCATTAAATTGTGCCCTACAGTAAGAGCTGTAAGCATCAGTTATTACTCATTTTAACACTCACTGTCTTGTCGGTCCCAATGACTTCAGCAGCTGGAAAGATCAACAAACTGTACGGTTGGTTGTATAGGAGAGCTACCAGAGTGCACATCAAGGAGGAGTGGACCATTATAAGTGCAATTCGTTTATTAACTTGTGGACTTCATATTTAAGAAGTTTCTATTGCTCCTGAAATCAGTTTGATGTTATTGCTGTAGAGCAGAAGCAAAATTGCAAGAGGTTGAATAAATGGAAGAAGAGGAAGCAGAACTCTGAAACAAACTGCTCTTAAAAAGAAAAGTGGAGGCCTTGAGTGTAGCACATGTCTTTAGTCCCAGCACTTGGAAGCAGAGGCAGATGGATGTGAGTGTGAGACTTGCTTGGTCTATATAACAAGTTATAGGCCACCTGGGGCTACACGAAGACCTTGTCTCAAAAAAACAAACAAAAAACAAAACCACCCCAAAGGGTCAGGTGAAGTGCAACTGGGGAGATGGCTTATTCAGCCTGAGGACCTGAGATTCGATTCCCAAAAGCCATGTAAAAAGCCAGGTGTTGCACCTGTAATATCAGCTCAGGAGAGGAAGAGACAAGAGGATGCCTGGGCTTTACTGGTCAAGTCAGTGACCTCCAGTGCCAGTAAGAGAACCTGTCTAAAAAATGATGTGGAAGGGCAGTTGATGTGGAAGACACCTGCTGTTGACCTTTGCCTAACTCATGCACACACACACAAACACACACACACACACACACACCATGAATTGGTGAGCCAGGCCCAGTGACATAAGCCTTTATACTCAGGAGGTTGAAGCAAGAGAATGGTAGTTGCATGGCCTTCCTGGGCTGGAGTGAGCAAGATAAGACTGGAGAACTTAGGGTGACCCTGTCTCAAAATTAAAAGGGGGAGAGGAATGGAGCTCAGTGATAAGAGTGTTTGCCCAGCATGAGGTCCTAGATTTAATCCATGTACCACCAGAAATAAATGAATAAATGAGTGAAGTGAGAAGGAAATGTTGGTGTCATTTCAGAAGAAGTGGGGTAGGAAAGATTTTCAAGACTAGGAGGATGAGGGGAAGGAGAGCTCAAAATGCCGTCAAGGGAAGAATTGATGTTATTACATTCTCTTAAAAGACAGCTGATAAAGTTAGATGGAGTAAAATGGTTCAGAGCACTGGGCTGTCTTAAGCATGCAGAATATACCTTAAAATAGTGCAGACTTGGGAAGCATGAATGAAGATGCCCTTGATGACTTGAACTGCGATGTTTCTCTTCAGAGCAGCAGGAAGAGAAGAAAGGAGAGGGAACAGGGTAGGTTTCAGTGCCTGCGTGTGGGCCTCTGGGTCCACCTGCTGCTTGTATTTCCTGGGGCTGGTTATTTAGCCTCTGAGTTTTGGTTCCTTCCTTGTGAAATAAGAACTCTTGTATACCTACCTTAGAGGATTTTTGTAGGGATTAGAGAGCACGTTTGTAGAATGTCTAATACCCTAAAGCCCTCTGTGCCTGTCACATTCATTTTAGGGGGTTCCTTTAGTCCTATACCGTCTTGAAGCTCTCTGATCAACTTCACCTCTGTGTAAAACCCTCCTGTGCTTTTAGTCTTAGTTGCCACTTTCTGGAGGAGGTAATCTCTGCTTCTGCAGTCTAAATTAGATCCTGTTCTTCATAGTGCATTTATTAGACTCTACCTGTACTTCTGTGAATTTGTGTTTGTGTGGGTTTTGTGGCTTTGTCTCTTCACTACTCATTCAACATTCCATCTTCTTGAATGAATGAATGAATGCATGATTGAGACATAATGGACCAAGAAGCATTTTGTTTTTTTCTCAGATTCTACAGGATAGGACTTTAAAAGTAGCATTATTACCTGCCTGTTCAAGGCCTCATTAGGTTGCAGAATATCAGCTGTGGCCAGGCATGGTGGTGCATGCCTTTAATCCCAGCACTGAGGAGGCAGAGTCAGGTGGATCTCAAGGCCAGCTTGGTCTGCATAGTGAGTTCCAGGCCAGCTGGGGCTACAGGGAGACCCTGTCTCAAAAAATCCAAAGACAGATAAGTATCAGATGTGGCAGACACATTATTTTAAGGCAGACATTGTTTTAAGACCTCCTGAGGCTGGAGGTTCCACTTCCAGAGTGGTTTATTCAAAAGCCTTGCAGGTGAGGTTAGCAGACACCTCCCTGTCCCGGTCACATACCCCACCCTACACCTTTCTTCCAGGAACACCTTTATGTGCTGCATGAATGTCCTCAATCTGGACCCTAACTTCTTCACAGCACAATTATAGAGAGCAAGGTTCCACAGGGCCTTTCTTAGCTCATCTTTCGAAGTCACATGCCATTGATTTGTAGTGTCCCTTTTGGTTACTGAGGTTAACTCTATTGTAGGAGGACTGCACGGGTACAAGTGCCAGGAGGTGAATGTCATGGAAAGGCATCTTCCAGATTGTCTATCACAGATGCTGTTCAGAGTCAACTGTGAATGAATTTAGAGTCAACTGTGAATGAATCAACAGTTGCCCAATAGTGTTGATGGAGGGTCTCGCTAATAGAGGAGAACACACATTTATTTTTGGCGAAGTCGGGATTGCTGATTATGTGATTTTTTTTGTTTGTTTGTTTTTTCCTAGCAGCATAGGAACAGATGTTGGGTTTATTTAGGGATTAATAAGACATTACAGGAGAAGTCACAGTATTGAAATTTGTAAAACTATGACAGCAATTACTATTTGGTTTGCTCCGTACTTTTGACAGTACTTTTGTCCTTGCCACACATAGAGACATAACTTTATCTCAGCAATGGTCTATTAAATTGGCTCTAAGAAAATTGGAGAAGGTAGCTTTTCATGTGCCTTGCTTTGTGCTGACTCTCTGCTGTGCAATTTTTGGCAAAAATTATTGCATCTAGTCCTCATAATAATCTTACAGGTTAATAGTAGCTCTGTTTTAGAAATGAACTCTGGATCATAACTCTTAGATGGTGGATCAGAACTTTGGCCTTGACATATAGTGCCTAATTGCTTGTCTTGTGCCCTACCCCACTGCTTCGCCATGTTTCCGGATGGGGAAGTACTCATCTGGAAATAGTAAAGAAGCTAGAGTCAGAATCATACATCCAGTGTGATTTTACCTGTCACAAGAAAAAGTAATAACTACACCACAATTTGAGATGTTGTTTCCTGTTTCTTAACTTTTTCTTGGTTTTCAGGTGTTCTATAAGCAGGTTAGAGTCAGAAATAAAAGTGAGTTTAAAGGGAAATTCTATCCTGAAAATTGACATTCAGGTTTGCAAACTAGAAACTATGTGTGCCCCTGAATTTTCTTTTAATCTTATCACTAAGAACTCTGAGCATGAGTCAGCATGTATTTTGCAGTCATAAATTTCTGCAGATGGTCATTAGCTTGAACGCAAGGCAGTTTGACAGTTGCTGAGTCTAGTCTCCATTCATCCTCTGTTCAGAACAAGTCTGAGTACTTGTAGACACATCAGCAAAACCTGTTTGCCTCCAGTTTCAAAGGCTGACTAGATGAACTCAGTACCAACTTCTGGATAATATGAGTTTGGTGTCCATACTTCTCTGGGTTTCCCCCTTTCTTAACAGTGTGCTGGTTCATATTCTGGCTTGTCTTCTCTCCAAGCTCTTTGGCACACATACTTCTTTGGGTTTCCCCCCTTTCTTAACAGTGTGCTGGCTCACATTCTGGCTTGTCTTCTCGCTGAGCTCTAAATTTTCTGTAAGACTTGGCCCTGGAAGCCCTTTTCCTGGTTTGCACATGTTCCACAGACAACCTTGCAATCCTGTGCCTGTGCTGAGATGTCTGGGCTTATAAGCCGAGTCTCTTCTCTGAGCTCCACATAGCTTATGTTGGCCATAAATGCATGGCTGTGCAGTGAGCACCTCCACTCAGCACATTCAAAAGGCGTAAGGAGGAAAATTCCCTTGCTTTTACGCCACCATGTAGCTTACTCCAGTCGCTCTTCTCTGAATGACTGTCCACTCAGTTAGTTGCCCAGGCAAGCAATCTAGGCATTTTCTGACTTGCGTGTTTTCCCTTCCTCTACTCCTGTGAGCAGTCTACCTGGCTCCACCCTTCAGTTCTACTCCAAATCAAGCATTTCTCCTGACCCCAGCTCACCTGGGTTCCTGCATTCATTGTCTCCCGCTCTCTGCTGCTTCCTATACCCTCTTCACTCCCTGAGCTAGGAATTACTCCGCTTAGGTATTGTTTCCGAGATCCTCTCATTAGCCTTCCTTCATAGGTAGAAGAGCTAAGGTATTTAGCATGGCTTGCGAGCTGCATAACATGTGGCCTTGCTCGCTCAGCAACCCCATGACCTGCCATTCATTCCCTAGCTCATTCTGCTCCAGCCAGTGACTTCCTGAACCTTTCTGAACTGCAGCACACACACATAAACACACCCCACCACTCCTTCCCTGTGACTTTGCACTGGCCGATATTTCTCCCCTGTAGCACACCCTAACTTCACGTTACTTGCTTTCTCACTTAGCTCCCTTCTCTGGTATCACCGTCCCTCCCATAATACATGTTACCTCTAGTTACTCTGTTACCGCCATGTTTCTTTATCACTGAAATTTAAGCTCCCTAAGCATGCTTTTATTCACCAGTATATTCCCAGTACCTAACACATAACTAGATGCTTACAACGGTTTGGAGAATGAGTAAGTCTACCACTTTACTGAAACAGTTATGTGGCTTGGTAAGTTTTGCTCATCACCCTCCCCTTCCAACTTTTGTACAGCCAGCTGCCTACCATATACTACCTTGTACACCATCTCCTGTAAGTTCATACTTCCTCTATATGTTGCCTCTTAAAAATTTTTTTTCTGTTTTTAATTAAGTATATATGTGTGTATGGCTTTGTAGTTGTGTGTATGTGAGTGCAGGTGCCTGCAGAGGCCAGAAGATGCCATCTGATGTAGAGCTGGAGTTAGAAGCCAATGTGGGTGATAGGAACCAAATTCAGGTCCTCTGCAAGAGCAGTACATGCTTTTAACTGCTGAATTACCTCTCCAGCCCCTCCATGCCACCTCTTAAGTCCAGGCCTTGCCTGTATGCTTTGCTCCTAGTTGAAGCCTTTTTATCTTACTGCTCCATTGTAGTAATCTCCTGTCTCATTCTGTCTTAGCATACCATTCACATTATTATCACACTGAATTCCTTCAATTACACATATTATTTGTCACTACATATCTTGTAGGATATAGTACTTTTATTACTGTTTTCAATAGTAGGCACTCCGAGAATGTTGAATGAAAGTCCTTTCCAGGAAGCAGAACTGGTGTGCTTTGTGATTATGTCAATGGCTGTGGTTCCTTGAAAGGAATTAATGATTAAATAATCCCCCTTTATTCCAGTTTTTAGGAAAGTTGTGAAAGCTCTTGTTGTCCATTATTTTTAATAGACCATTTACATGACTGTGGACATATAATGTGTTATTGGAGCATTCCACAGTAGAGATTTGTGTTGATTAGTAGAACGAAAGTAATATTCATGCTTCAGTATTAAAATGATTTCTTCTTTTCTTTTAAGCTGACATCTCCAGGGATTATTGAATTGCTGAGGAGTTTGGAACAAGACAAGCCAAAGCTCCCATTCCATGGATCCCTTGGGTGCACCTTCCCAGTTTGTGGATGTGGACACCCTGCTAAGCTGGGGTGACTCATATGAAGATGAATTAAATTCTTCTGATACCACAGCTAATACATTTGAGGAAGACACTATTAGATCACCTTTTCTTTATAATAAGGATATCAATGGAAAAGTGGTTCTTTGGTAATTTTTTAATTATGTTTTAGCATAGTACCATAGCAGTTTCTCATGATTTTCTTCTAAGGTTTTTTTTTTTTTTTTTTTTTTTTTTTTTTTTTTTTTTCTGTCCTAGCATTATTTAAATACATATCCAGTCTTAGTGAGATAAAATTATAAATGTATCACTTAAGTTTTGATACACAGTTAAGACAGTGAATATTTCTGTCACCTTCAAAATTTATTTTTGTTCATTTGCCTCTTTTGGACATTTCATATACATGGAATGACTACAGTAAAATATGTGAGATTCCTTTTGTTACTTAGTGTGTCTTCAGTGTAGTTCAGATCAATACTCTGTTCCTTTTTTGGTATGGCTGAATAATATTCCATTGTATAGATCCATCACACATACCAGTTCATTAGTTGCTGGACAGTTAATTTGTTTATATTCTTTTGGCTGTTATGGCTGATGCTGGTTCTAAACTTTTTTTTTTTTTTTGGTCTTTTTGAGATAGGGTCTCCTTGAAGCCCCAGTTGACCTTGAACTCACAGAGATCCACCTGCCTCTCCCTCCCAAGTGCTAGAATTAATTAAAGGTGTGCTCCATTATACCTGGCAGTTCTAAAGTCTTTAAGCCAACCAATTTCAACTTTAAGCATTTTTATATAATGAAGGAAATAAGGCAAGACACAAATGGATGACATGATGGGTTTGTGCATTCTGGGGTGACCAAAGTTGCATTAAAGCTCTAACATGCCAGAATAATTTGAGTCCGAAATTTTCTACTGTTCTTTAGTTTTCTATTATTGCTTGACTTGTGAATTGGCAAAATCAGTATGGGGGGCGGGCAAAGATAAATTGTTTTAAGGAATTAGAAACCATGTGTCTTCTCCCTCTTCTCCCTTCCCACACTTGCTCTTTTTATCCTTTGGTCCTTCAGGAAAGGCGATGTAGCGTTACTGAACTGTACCGCCATCGTGAATACCAGCAATGAAAGTCTCACAGATAAGAACCCTGTGTCGGAAAGTGTCTTCATGCTTGCTGGGCCAGATTTGAAGGAAGACCTACAGAAACTAAAAGGTAAGTGGATTCTTAGTGAATTTTTACTTAGGAAAAATGTTTGTCTTCTACCCTGAAAAAGTGTGTTCTGTGTTTACATGACAGATTATGTATATAAATCTGCTTTTCTTTTGTTAAAACTACATTGCTTTTGCAGTCCCCATGGCAGAATAGCCCCTGGGCCTGAGGGTTTTACCACGCCTAACTCCTCTGTCACATCACTGAGTTTTAAAATGACAGGCATTGTAGTCAGCCCCACAGTTGTAGCATGGCTGTTTTCTTATACTGAGAAGTCTCATGAAATTGTCTTTCAGAGCTGAAGATTTTTTTATTATGATTTGATGTTGATAGAGAATTCTTTAAGACCTCCTAGATACAGCCTTCTGCAATGAAAATGGACTTACTCATAAAACCAAGGTGCTTTGAAAAGCAAATATATTTTCAGTTGATTTGTATTTTCTGCTTTGTATATTTACCAGTGTATGCTTCTGGGAATAATTCTTTGGAAATTGAGACTAGAAGAACCCTATTGGTTCAGAATCTTGTCTCCCTTTATTTGCAGGAATTTTCTAAATTTGGAGCCTAGCAGCCCTTCATTGTTACCATTTGAGCTCAAGTGGAATATTATGAAATTCAGTCTTCTTATTTTATGAAAGGCATTTGTGAAATATAGCAGTATTTTCTTAAAATGTAAACAGAGCTGGGCATGGTGGTGCATGCCTTTAATCCCAGCACTTGGGAGGCAGAGGCAGACGGATCTCTATGAGTTTGAGGCCAGCCTGGTCTATATAGTGAGTTCCAGGACAGCTGGGACTACAAGGAGACCCTGTCTCAAAAAGACAAA